TTTTTATAGATCATTTGGTTATCATCTCTAAAGACTGCGCGTAAATTGATATTATTTCTGTAGAACATAAAATTGAAAGATCGAGTAATGTTTTTTTAGATGGCAACTGCACAAGAACTGGATAAAATAAGAAAATCAAAAATGTCAAATGCATCGAACAATAATTTGCGTCAGCCTGTGACCGTGATAAAGAAAAAATCGGCCCCATTAGATAGTGTGATCGATGAGCTGCAACAACTAGAAGAAGCTGAGAGTGACACAAATGTTAAACAACATTCGACAGGGACGTGTGCGTCGACTGGACGGCGGCGCTTCCAGTCGAAGGATAAGAATAAGAAACGCGAGCGTTGGCTTTTGACACGGAAAACTTGGCGGTATATGACAGATGCGGGCCGCAAGTTGTTGCCCGAAGGAAAGACATTCCATGGCTCTGATAATATAGCCCAAATAGAAGAACAATTTCAGCGTGTCTGTGCGTCGGAACCACGGTTCATATTATGGCGTCGCAAGTCCTCGTTTCCAGGTGCTACAAAGAGCTGCTCCAAGCGACGTCTCAAAATACTCTCTCAGCATCGGGGCCATAATCATGCCGCACAGATCCATCAACGAGCTCAAGAGCTGAATGAGAATATAGACGTAACTATAGAGCTATTACAGTCCTATCTCAAGATTCGAGATTCGTATAAGACGACAGCGTTGCTGGGCACCAAAACCGTGCGTCCAGATCAAACATCTTCACCGAGCTCACAGCGACCGAACTATGAGAGTAAACACTTGAGCTTAACTGAATTGCATGTGAATAGCCCTAGCGATGAATCAATGCTATTGAAAAACTTGAAATTATTGAAAAATTCATCGTTGTCTGGCATAGGGATCGATAATGACAATATAACGCTAGCAATACTTGAAGACAAGGCTTCGTTAAAAAAGATATATAATATATTGAAAAAGCAGCAATTACATCGTATTTTACATTCCACTGAGCCACCATCGAGTAAATCTAATTTAGCCAGATCTACCTCATACTCGAGCCTTCTAAATAGCAACACAGACAACAGCTGCTATGATAGCACCTCAAAGTATCTGTCAAACATTCAAGATTCCGTTGAATTGATTCAAAGTCCCATGCCTATCAAATCGTCAAATGCAGTTAGACGCACACAAAAGCCACCGGAATCACTCGCACTAAGGGGCAATAGTATCAAGAATTTAGAAACAAAGATAGTTAATAAGATTCCAATGAATTCATGTGGAACGCAAACAAATTTTGTTCAATTGTCTGAATTAAAATTATTAGCCGAGCAATATGAGCAATTTCTGAACGATAGCAATTATAATAATAAAAATAATAATTCAGAGAACGACGAAGCCGATAAACCGCCATTGGGCAACCACATTTCCAGCCACAGACGTAGCTCGATCGATAACGAAGACGTCTCCCAGTCAGTTAGTGATACGATAAAACGATATTTACGCATGGCCCGAAAGAAAAGTTTGCATAATGGCGATGCGAACCGTTTTAAATCTGTTAACTACGATCGAAATCTGCGTAATATTAAGGCAAAAGGTGAAATCAACCCACCTGGCATGGATGAAGGCAACAATAAGGCAGTACAGACGTTAGATGCGTGGGCGCAAGTTGCTTTGGATTATATTCGCGGAAATGAGAATTCAATCAATTTACAAAACGCCCATATTGCCTGGCAGAAGGATCTAGATGAGCGTATTCGAAAGAAATACGAGTGGGATAAGCAATTTAAAGAGCGCAACACTGACGCACATTTTAGTAGCCTCAATAGAAAGTCGATTGGACAGTCTCCTTGCCTGTCAGCGCCCAACTCCCCAACAAGCCCCATTCAACATCTTCAGCATCATCTGCCAAAGGAGAAGAGTTTACGAACTGCTAGCGCCATAATATCCTCTAGCTCACACTTTCTATCAAATTTCTGGCATGCTAACAGTAATGATCCCCCCAGTATACAAAGCTTAAAATATGGGAATATAAGGGAACCATTTATGAGTAAGTATGCGTACGCACATGTATATATA